TCCCCTACCTTAAATAGCTATCTCCCCTCCCTTTATATTGCCTTAGTTTCCAGGCTACACTACTGATGTTTCGAGTGAGGACACTCGATGCGGCAAACGTGATCAGTCTGCATAAGTGAATTTTATCATCCGTTGGCCGGACAAGGTAATGCAGTTGCCACCCTCAAATTGCATGCGCGCACCTTCATCCTTTGTTTGCCCGGAAAGTCTCAACTCCGGTAATGAATTCTGTTGGACCGGCTACGTGTCCTGGTAAATTTTCCGGGCGCTTACAGCAAAGTTATGTACTTATTGGTGTATGTGGCTAACTGGGCTACACTGGATTATAGTTGGAACTGTACAACTGATAATAGTTGTACTGTTCTTTAGACGTAGGGCAATTAATGAAAGACGTAATACGAGGCCTGCAAGTTAAGTGATGACAATGGTTTTTTTAATTACTTTATTCAAATATACTTACAATTTTATATCGTCACCCTAAAAAAAACTTAGTTTTGGAGGCTCACAGCGCTGGAGACGGTTCTTCCTCCTCATAGCAGTGCTGGAACTCCGATACTGCAATAATAACAATAATAATAATTATTATAATAATCGGCTTTATTGGCAGAGTTCAGCACAGCTATTCTTACACTCAACCTTCCTAAAGACTGAAGCTTAATGCTAGTTTGACATATAAATATGATATTTTACATATACAGTAAACGATTTTATGTCTATGAATCTAAGTAAAAAAAGAACGTAACGGTAATTGATCACAGAGCATTTATTCATTGATACTATGCTGAATTTCGAGAAGATGTTGCCTGAGATGCAGTTTGAAACGGATGTTATTAGTATTTGATATATCAATATTCCTGCTATAGATGTTAAAGAGAAACACTGCATTATACGTGAAAGATCTATAAAAGAGTGATGTTACATACATAGGCATTGTAAAATGGTTTTGATGTCTTACATTGACATTATGTATACTTGACCCAGGGACCAGCTTTTCTACTAAATATACAGGATTCTTAGAATATAATACACGATTCAATGTTGTTAGGTAAATATTTGAACAGAGAATTGATATTAAGCCATTGTAAAAGCCTGAAGCTATTAGATATGTGGTCAAATTTACATAAGTTACAGGCAAAACGGCAGTTATTCTGCAATCTCTGCAGGCGTATTTGAGTCGAATAGTCTAGGCATGGCTAAAAAACTATCAAACCATAACTGATAAATATGTACAGGGTGACTTCGAAGTTGAGTCATTTATTTTAACAATGAGTAGATCTAATCAAAAGAAATGTTTTCTTCCTTTAACATTTTTGTGATAAAATTAAAGTAACAAAGTTATAGCCCTTTAGAAGTTTGAGTACCGCCCTGTCTCAATAATAATATTATGTGCTCGTGTTTGGCAACAACGGATATACTCCGCCTTATCGGTTCATCGCATTGGAAACAAGAAAGCGAAAGAATTTGAAACGCTGATCACGATGTTTTTATTCAGTCAATGTGTCAGTCGGTAACGCGTGAGTGAATAGTGGTGTTTGCTGCGTGGCTCAAACGAAATAAAAAATGGCACATATTTATGCGGATCGGTTTCCCAATCGAGTGCAACCAACCTCTCGTGCCTTTGTTAATGTAGTACAACGGGCTCGTGAATCAGGTGACTTAAGACCTCACAGGGGAGGGCATGCCGGTGCTCCAAGACCTCACGATCAAATACAGGTCCGCACTGAAATACTTGTCGGGAGGATACTTTATAAAACAAGGTAAACATTTTTTTTTTATTTTTTTTTATTTTTACACACATATTTCGGTTTATCTTCCTTCTACAATCATTATCTGAAAATTAATGACTCAACTTCAAAGTCACCCTGTATATATATATATATATATATATATATATATATATATAACTTGTCATCTAAGATCAAACTAAGTATCTTACAGCTAGTTGAAAAATAAAGCTGTTGTGATCTTATGGATCAGAATACCGATAGATTTAACAGAGAAAAGATATCCAAATACCCACTATTAGCAGAAGGGTACAAACGCATACATAATCTGCAATCAGTAGAGATAATACCATCATCACAGCAATAAGAAAGTCAACAAAAACTTGAAGAAAAACACAATTAAACTAGGTCTCGATGCACAATACATTATTAGGCAAACACAAAAATCGGTAGCGCTCGAAACATGTCGCATTGTCCTTAAGTTTCTACATTTGCCAAATTGAAATTCGTGAAGTAGTGTTAGCATACGCCCCCTGCCTCAGCAGATAGTGTTACACTGAGAAGAACAAGAAAATAATAATAACAAAGCATTTATTGCCCAACAGTACAGATACCATTTAGAGAACAAACCATACTTATAGTCTAATCTTATTAGCAAATTCCTCCGAAATAATTGTAAAGTCTGGTTTTATTGATACAATTTGTTCAAGAGGGTATATAAAACGTGGACGCATGAAATGGGTGCATCAATTTTTGTGGGAAAATTTTTTGTTAAACAACAAAGAATGAGAAAGCGCATTTTTTGGAATTTAGTCGACAGTGTTGGCAGAAACGAAAAAACCCTTCAAATCAATTTTTCACGTATTTATGAGACATACACAATGAGATCACACGTTAAAAGGTCCTACTAATAGTAAAAAACATCCGAAGGCTTCTTTCCTCTAAATAACCACAACAAAATTGGAGCCGATTGAACAAGTAGTTTTTGAGAATGTCTAATTGCTTATTCCAAAACACCTGTCTTCCGGCCACTACTACTAGTTTATTGGGCAACATACTGGGCATTTGATAGCAAAATACACGAGTTTACCTTGCCGACATGAATCACAAGCCATCCTATATTTTTTGTACTAAACAAATTCAAAAACACTAGATATGTGATATTTCACTTATTGACTCTGGACCTTATATTGCGAATATTATTGTCATTTTTATACTCATCACTTATAACACGATCACCTGGTGGAGAATAAAAGCGCTGAAAAAAGTCAGCAAAAACATTACCTATTGATACGGGGTCATTAAAAGAGTCACTTTGGTAGAACATTTTACTGAGAATTCTAGATGTGCATGAATGATATTCATTAACAAGCTGGTTTTGATCTGTCTGAATTAAGTTATACAAGCCTGCCTGATTTTTTGCTTAAAGGTGGATGTAAGCCTATCGAATTCTTGATAATAGGCGATGTTATTAGTAGCCTTGAATCTTTTGTTATATTTATTTCGACATTGAGTCGGCATTATTCTAGCAGTGTTGGTGGAGGTTCAGGAAAGACTCGTATATGCTTTATATCAAGGTTTAGTCAAACTAAATTTGGCAATATACGAGTATGTACATTTATCGTAGAAAGAAATTATATACATACTACGGTGGAGATGGCCATAGTTGTCATCGTACGTAACATCCATCGGTGCTATGCACCTCTGTATACAAATAATGTACTCGGCCAATATTGAAATATGTGTGTAACGGTTTCACCGTCCGATCGTATTTATTAAATCACTTCTCGATTATCATTTCATTAATCCCATCTCTAGCTCTTTTGCTTGGAAAATTTTCCGCTTGGAGCGCTTGATGAGGAGTTCCTGATCTGCGATCTTCCTCGCGCTTCCTTTTCACTTGAGCCGCCGATCGAACAAGAGCTAAAAATCTTCTTCTCTGTAGCACAAGGTCATATAGCACCATGTGCTAGAATTTTGTAGAATGTGTGTCCGTATAGGACAAAATGGTGAGTTTTATAATACTATACAGTTTTATTGCTGGATCTGCCTGTAGTTTATAGATAATCGATATGTAAGCGGTTTATTTCTTGTACGATTTTAAAATATCCATCGAACGTCATTTTCGACTACTTCGATCATTCGCCATAACTTTAATCAAATCGTGGTGGAAATCGATCCACATCGATTTTACCTCTGTGTGCGTATATATATTCATAGTTCAGTGAAATTATAAGTACGTTGATTATGAATATTCGATATTTGTGTTTTTATATCAGAAGCATGTGGAGAAATTTTTGATGACCACCATCTTGTTTTACGCTTTTTTTTGCTATTTCATGATTTTATTTTATGAAAGGCATTTCCAATTTTCGGTTTGATTTTATCAAACTATGTAATGTAATTCTAACCTAGAAAATCGTTGGTTCTCTTTTGAGGAGATTGAGATTGGAAATGCCTTGGCCATTAGGGCACGTTGCTAATGCACACGGTTCTTTTTCAGATTGGGGCCACCCCCTTTCTCTTTCTTTTTCTCTTTCTCTTTCCCTTTCTCTTTCCCTTTCCCTTTGCCTTAGTCTTTGACTTTGCCTTGCTTGGCCAATCACTTCACCCATGCATGGCAGCGCCATCGCCTTTAACTTCGCCTACAACTGGTTATGAAGCCACTATATGTGAGGTCACCCCTCATAACTGGGACCTCCCCTTCAAGCACCTGGCCATCCTGGCTTCAGTCGAGTCAAAACGAAAGATAAGTTGATAGTTTTATAGCAGCGCCAAAGATGTAAAACTTATTTTGTTCTTTAAAACTGTAAAATTGTAATGTAATGGAAATCTTTTTTTTTTTGTTAAATAAAATCTGTTAAATTTTTGTGTTCTGTTTGTTCTTCTATCCTCTAGCCATGCCATGGTCGACACACAGCTACACGCCTGTAGATGTCTTCATGCCACCGACTGAGCTACCGGAAGCTAATTGTAACCCCCTTTCTGTGATTGTGCAGAAAAGTTGGAATCTTCATTGCATTCCATCTTTTCTGGACTTTTTGCGGAAAGGAAGCGTTACATGTGTCCACTAAGGTCTGCAATGTACTATCCTCATATTTTGATCAGTTCCGAAGGCGAAGCTCAAATATACCAATACTGCAACTACCATAGAGACGTGAAGGAGAATTTATTGATGTGTCATTTCTCCTTTCCAATCAGCTGAAAGGTGAAAATGACAAAGAGTCTGACCCAGTTGAATTGACAGATACTTGAAAGACAGGCGTATTGAAGTTTATGAAGGAAGTAATTTCAAACTTTAATTAACATTTCCGTTTTGTCTCTGAAGGTAAAGCCACTGGATCTGACTCTGCATATCGGTGGAATAACGGCCTCTTTTGGAATTATAGAAGAAGGAAAGTGAGATCAAAACGACAGAAATCTATCCTGAAAGTTTGGTGGGGAACCGGCTAAAGGTTTACTGGATGTATTGAAGGTGATAGAAAATTATTCTAAAGTGTAAGAGAATTGAATGTGGGTTATTATCATTGCTTTGAATTTGGATATTCGCTTAACGCTTGGGAAACCATAAGAGGGATTCAAGATGATGCGCGTACGCCTGGCGCTCGCTTTGAAAATACACAGAAATGATACTAGCTGTTCACATGGCCGCGCGTATGAGAAATCGTACGCGCGTACGACGCCACGAGACGGAAATCTCCATACCCGCGTCGGCCAGCGTCAACGCGCGTATATTGAAATACTAAACGTTCCTATTGCCTGTTCAGTTAGCGCGCGGCCGTTCTGGTGTTTAGTAGATGTACCTGGTGTCTTTGTCACTATTGTTCCACAATGCAAACAGAATTCAACACAGATCTGTTCATTGATGAAATTGAAGATAGGCCTGCGATTTGGAACATGCATTCCAAATTGTATGCAAATAAAACAGCAAAAAGAAATGCCTGGGAGGAAATGGTCCTAATTTTTTGCAAATCAGATAATACCGAGGAAAAAAGAAAATATTTTTATTTAAGTTTGAACAAATGCTTTATTTATAATCAGTGTTACAATAAAGACAATTCAAATCATTCTATCCTGCCATTCCAGTTTTCCTTCTTTCAAAAAATAGTTTGTCAAATTTTTCCGAACCCCGTATGCATCCTGTAGATTACGACCAGTATGTGAACGATTCAATGTTGCCAGTGGTGCTGCGTTTAGTGTATCTTCAAAATGATGTCCATCATTAATTCGTATGTAATTTTGTAAAATACATATAGCTTTAATAATGCTCTCTGCGAATTCTATGTTTACATCCAATGGCCGGTGTAATATTCGCCATGTGTTACACATAATACCAAATGTACATTCAACATAGCGGCGTGCTAATGTTAACCTATAGTTGAACACTTTTTTCCATGTGATAAGGTTTTTCCAGCGTTTCCATGCCAAATGCTTCGTGCGCTACTATAACATATGGTAGTTTTTCCTCTTTATTCTCTATTATTATGGGCGTTGCATCAGGTATATCCAGTGACCTTTCTGTTAGCTTCTTGTAAAGCGTGGACTCTTTGAAAACTCCCGAGTCGCTGACTTTACCATAAGCACCGATGTCTACACAAATAGAACAATAGTTTGAGACACATAGCGCCATTAATATTAAAGAAAAATAATTTTTATAGTTATAATACATTGAACCTGAATATGCTGGTTGTTTGATTCGCACGTGTTTCCCATCCAGAGCTCCGATGCAGTTAGGAAACATTGCGTGTTTTATTAAATCCATCTGATATTTCCTTCCACTTTTCTTTATTTGGTTTCTTCATGACAACGTTTTTCATTTTTTCCCATATTACTTGGCAAACGTGCTGAATTATTCCACACAAGGTAGATTTTCCTATCTTGTAACTGTAATGTAGTTCGCTAATAGAACATCCACTTGCCAGGTATCTAAAAAATGATAAACTAATGAACTTATTTTGCTTTAGGGTTATCATTACAAAAAAATGGAAACAGTTACGAGATAAATATGTAAGAGAATTAAAAAGAAGTACATTGAAGTCAGGCGCGGGTGCATCAACCCAAAGCACATATATATACTTTAACCGGCTCACCTTCCTTCGAACAACAACCACAAAAAATGATACCGAGAGCAGTTTTGAAGACGGTGTTGATGCCCCTTTTAAACTTCCGGATACCCACCAATGCCGGAAAACATTAAGCTCCATCCAGCTGACGAATATTTCGCCAATATAATAGAGAAAAGATTAACTAATAAGCCTGAAGTAGCAGGAGATGAAGATAAACATTTTTGTTTATCTCTGTATAGTGAGATAAAAAAGTGCCCGCAAACATGAGACTAAAATTAAAAATTGATATCTACAACCTCATCTTAGGAAGTCAGCAAGCACTCCCGCAGATGACGAATGCTGCTTGTCATGCAGAGCCGTCAACATCAAGTAGTTATTCTCATGACGCAATTGGGCAACAATATAGTATGCCCCACTCGGAGTATCAGCTAAACAGTTACTCAAATACTCCGTATGATACTCGATCATATACATCAAACCATCAAACCTATCCTAGCAATGTACAGATACAAACAGTGACACCAGTACCAACTCCATCGCCGTCTGCTTCAACTATTGTTAGTGAAAATTCTCAGGAGTCATCAGAACTGGACTTGTTAACAAATACTGACACATACCGACTAAACTGACGTTTTGTTTTCATGACGAAGGAATGTGTTTAGTTTAAATTAGCAATGCATTTTGATTTTGGTTTATTGAATATTATCTAGTTTGTATTTCGAATATGACAATAAAACATTTTTTCTGACTTACCTTAGTATAACAATTAGTTTTTCTTCTGGTGAAATGCAATACCTTACTGCATTTACATCTGCTGCAATATAATCCTTAACGATGTGCAGTAAGTTATCAAACGATTTTATTGACATCCTAAAGTAGTTGAAAAATTTAGGTTCATGTATTCGGAGGCTGGGATACAGTGTAAGGTATAAACTTGTAGAAAGTCTGTTCCTTAAAATTGGGTGAACCCAGTATGCCCTTTCCCTCCTATGTCGTTCCACTCTTCTATATGTTAACCAAACACAAACAGCTTGCCTCACATCCATTCTGACTAAGCACAATAAACTGATACTTCGATTACCTATTCTCACTCTATATAAACGCTGTACGAAGTCGTACGCGCGTCATGTGTACACCAACGCAACAAACGTACGCGGCGTCTGAACTTGGACTAAAGCTGCCGTGGAGCAGACGACTTTGGAGCAGCAAGGGGTTAAGTCAGATGTTATACGCTAGCAGACTCGATGGGTCGATTGTTAGCATGTAGGGTGTACCGCAGTAGACCAACGCATCTGCTTTCCTGAGTGGCAAAGCTGATCGGAATGTTAGAACATTCACTGTAACTAAAGGAGTATAAGATAATTTGCAAACATCACAACTTCGTTAGAATATTAATAGCATAATATGCTCTAGGACAATATCTAAAGCAGCATTACTGTATATGAGTTGATGAATGAACTTTGACACTGTTGATTCTTTATAGTATATTGACTGACATTAACAATAAACCATGTGTACTGTGTCTGAATGAATTTGCTTGATTGCCACGCCCGCCCGTGAGCTTGATGGTCGGCGCGTGAATTACTCCTTCTTCGGGCGGTGTTGCCAGATGTGTACAGATGTGTGTAGAAGTTGCCGGAACAATTATTTTGACAGCAGCTCTTAATGTTGCAGCGTTCCACTTCAGACCCCAACGTGCACACATAATTCATCACTTGCGATATGAACGAACACTACGTGTTCTTGAGAACGTGAATGTTCTCGAAGATCATCTATCATAAGGTTGTTGAAACAACCACACTCCGCGCCACTTAAATAGATCCAGAATAATATTTCATACTACCAGAAAGAATAGTTAGTTGATATTTACAGAATATTTATAGAATCAATAAATAGACAAGACCTCACAGAAATATACCCTATTTTTCAGCCTTACCAAAAGAGTAAAACAAACTCGAAAAATATATTTGTTCTAGGGGTACTCAAAAAAGTACCATAATGTCTAGAATTCAAACGCGGGACAAGGAAGCTGAATTAATGCAATATGTTGCATCAATCAGTACGATTACGTGATTGTGATTGATGGCATGCTATTATTTGAACTGTCAGCGGTCAGGCATGTTTATACGACGTACTACCTTTGATAGAAACTGTACGGCAGGGCCGTTACATAGACAACACATAAAACGTCAAAGAATCGAAATACTGTCACTTTCTAAGTTACTAAATACGGGCACCGTACAAAGAAACTTGAGATCGTAAGAATATAAAAGAAATTGGGCATCTAATTGAAGGTTCGTATATTTTATAAACATGATAAGAAATAAGGACCCAAGGAAAGACTCTTGAGAGGTTGCAAACGTAACCATATAACTGTTACGTCTGAAGCCCTTGTGCATTACATCTATGTAACACTTCCAGATAAATACAATTGTATAAACGAAATGAGATGATCAATTACACTAAGGGTGGATTTCAGCAGGATTGTCAAATCAACAGTCTGTTATTTTCCACCTATAGGGATACAGTAGCTATGAAATACTGAAAGCAAAGTATGAGATGACAGATTGTCGTTGAAACATCATTGAATACTAATAAATTGCATATAATTCAGTCAAAATTTAAAAAAGTGTTTGATTTTTTAATAATATTCTTGCTTTTTTTCAATATTGTCGATTGTTTATTCATATCTATATTATTTTCTTTAATTAATAGGCGATTTTACTGATTTAATATACCCTACCGTGTGTTTTTTCCTATACCCAAAATATATGTCGTAAAGCTACTGGCAAACTCTCAACATGCAAAAAAACTAGAATTTGCAATAAATTTTTTTGTTTCACTGAATACACATTCTAGGTTATATTTATATTAGACATTATTTGAATAACAGCTGATTATTATGTTTCAAAACTCCCCAACAAGTGACACACGTGCGGGATCCGTCAACGCTTGGTCCCAGTGTAGTAAGCTCTGCCAACTATTGAAATATACTCTAGTATGCTTTATAAGACTATATTTGAAATTTTTCCCAAAATTGTTGCACAACACTTGAGAAAATTTAAAATTATTTCCATGACGCCCCAAATAGCTCCGTCGGTACCTCGGGTTATACATCTTGACAGAAGGGATGATCGATACGATCCTATATTAAGAAGTATCGATACTTTTGCTTCCGATACCCGATATTTTGGATCGATGGTTTTATATACGACACTTTGGTTTATCTACACATTTCAAAAGTATCGTCATCTTTCGGTCCGCACTGTGTCAAAAAGAGTGACTAACTTCAGATTACTTTACATCTTTGTTTCCTTCCGCTGGATATCGATAATTTTATTCCCATATTTCAGAGTATCGATACTTCCTAAAACGTTAAGGATCAATACTTTTCGTGGATAGAAACAACACTTGTCAACTGGGCTGCGGGGTACGGTGTTGCCTTTACTATTTTACATTTTGCTAATATCTTATGAAAAATAGAAACTTCACATACATATGTCAATAATCTGCATCATAATAAAGTAAATTCAAATACTTTTCAAAATATGGCTAATAATAGTGATTGTCAGCACTCACGCAGAGCCGCCTGCTGGTCAATGTGGTACGTCACTAGAACAGAACCAACAAATTTCCTGTCTCGCACGGCTTCAGTACTACAACACAATAAGTTGAAATTAAAGAGAGTTTACACTAGCATGTAGCGCTTGAGTAACTAGGACATGCAAGTTGATGTAAAATATAGTTGGATTCAAGTTAAGTTTACATTACCTTTGCAAGGGAAGCTTGCTTAAGGTCCAATCAGTGCAGTTCTTCATCACGACCAAACACTCTCGTCACCTGTTTTCAAGTAGTAATTGTCTGCAAGCCACAGGTTTAAACAGGACAATACAGCTAGCGCACAAGTAGAGCTTTCGCGAAAGGCGTTAGTTGCGCAAGTAATTTCTGTCAAAACATTTATTTGAGAAAGCAACGAATGCATGCAAGTCCGCCTTGCAAGTTAAACTTTCGTGCATGTTAGTGTTTACATTTGCAAGTTTTTCTGCAAGTTGCTTGCAAATAAAACACATGTTAGTGCAAGCTCCCCTTAGGGCTGCTCCAAACATAGATAGCCAGAGTGGTTTGAGTATAGGTCACATATGAATATCAAAACTGTATTTGAAGGACGCTATTCTTTGAGAAGAAATGAAAGGAAAGCGTGCTGAGCATAGCACGTAGTGAGAAATCGTTTAAAGGGTCCTGGGAATTGTGGCAAGTGATTCAAAAGCCTATCCAAGCTTACGACGAATAACCAAGGCGATATTACACAAACCATCTACCTATACAGGGTGTCCAAGAAGTCGACTTCAAACCAGAAACAGGAGATAGGCCAAGTCAGAATAGGTCAGGTATATAAGAAAAAATCTAAGTCGTGTTCTTTTCAAATCATATGCTATAAAAGAATTGGAAAAATCAAAAGCATCCACACTTCGTGATGACCTTTTAGTTACCATACGTACAAATCTCAATTAGCTCACCATCTCGATCACAGCGTTTTTCTGAATATGCACCGCTTACTTTCAGAGAGACGATTCCCAAATCAAGCACTTGGTGAAGGAAGTATTTCCTTTCCTTACGAGGACGCCGTACTAGAAGCAGTCGAAGAAGAGCCTAGTACTTCAGTACGTCAAATAGAAGCTAGCTGGGTAGAGCCCAGAAGTACGGCCCAACAAATCTTGCCGAAGTACGAGCCACCCATACCAGGTACACCGAGTACAACCTCTATAATCCCGGGATCATCTCTACAACCCGGGATGATTACCTTTCAAGAGTTGAGTTTTGTCAAACGATATTACAGGGACACCGGAAAGAACCACGATTTTTATGAGTCGACTTTTAAAAAAGATGGTTACATGAATCTACAGAACTCACATATCCACGAATTAATAAAAGTGGCGTTATTATC